ATTCAGTCTGTAGAAGGTGTAGTTGGCTATTCTTTCAACAGCAGGCTTGCAGTACTATACATATGACAAAAGTATTATGCAGGAGATTCCATAATATAATACCTCTGTTGATACAGCCTTAACACACAGTATCCCAAGGTTTGTGACTGGGGTTCCCTCAGCTGAAATTCCAGCCCTGATCAAGATACACCAGGTACAACACACACACCATGCTCAGGTTACTCCATGCACTGCATTTTTTCCTTTGTTTTTTCCTGTGGTACTATCCACTGAATGTTTACAATTCCTTGTGATTGTGGGTTGATTGTTCAACTTTCCAAACAGGTGGTGGCAAAGATTTGTCATTCATTGTACCAGTTGGCTGCCATCTAGTAGTCATCCAGTGCAGATGAAATGCAGCTGCTGGATAAATGTTGGAGTTTGAAAAATGGGTTTTGCTATGGAGATCAATGTGGGCACTGCAAGAATAATGCATGAACAGAAGTGAGCACTGGCCATTGGGAAGGGAATTCCCCACCTCACTGACTACAGAAGTACAACAGCTGGGTCCTTTTCAGTTACATGCCTTAAACCAAGGATGGGAAAATCAGTTTCAGGGGTTTGGACTCTGTATTGTAGGTAGACTGGTTGACAGTTTGACTTTTTGATCATTAAGTGGCAGCTGGAGGTTTTGTATCTCTTTGTAGTCACCTCTACAATGAAACAGAGAAGATATGAAGGACCTTAAAGAATTAAGTTTTTCAGTCCATAGTGTTTGTGAAACTGGGCTCATTGTAGTCAGTGCCAGAGATGTGAGCTCTGCACTTTAAATGGATGACTACTTGAATAACCTATTTACAAAAGGGGGGAGGGGAGCTGTAGGCATCAGGGATCCAGCCCCCATCTGTCGCAAACAAAGACCAAGGCATGAGTGAAGAAGTAGAGACCACCCTGAAGGGAGGAATCCCACAAGAAACGCAGAATGAACTGGAGCCACAAGATTGCTGGCATAAAAGCATATCATTTACGCTGCTTCTCTGATGTACACCAATGTGCCCTATATTGATTGCATCCAGCTTCTTGAAGCAGGATATTAAGGGAAAAACACCACTTCTAGATCATAGGACATCTTAAGGTCATCAGTTTGCCTCAGCCTTAGCAGACAGAGATACAGACAGAGGCATGTCAAGAAATGGTTAATGGGCTGTCCATGTGCCAGGGCAAGGAGAAAGTGTGGATTCTCTTTAGGTGGAGTGCAAGAAGAAGCTATCATACTAACTTGTCTGCAGAAAGGACAAATATGCTGTCTTTTCTCCTCTTGGAGTTCTGGTCTAGGCAATCAAGGACTTTCACTTGAGAGAAAGAAGCCCAGATGGTTTCAGGTTAAAAATTGTTTATACCTAGCACCTGGAGATTGCATCTCTTCCTTTTCCCTCACTGCCTCAAACTTCAGTTTCCTTTATCCTTTGCCTCAGATCAGAGTTTAAGACCCAGACAGAAGCAAGAGGCTCTGCAAGGTGATTGTTGGATATGTGTCTGGTTGCAAATTCTATACCATGCCTAGTGATGGCAGGTGCAATGTTTTGTGACTCAAGAGATTGTATCTCCTAGCACTCTTGGATTATCTGATTTCTAGATGGTAGGAACTTCCAGCTGATCAACAGGGGATACATTTTGCCTGTGTTTTTCTTATCAGTGCTAGAATGGCTTGGGATGCTGAAAATTCTCCAAAACAGCTGGAGGAACCAGCTTGTCTATCTCAGCTGCATTTATTGTCTATGTGTCTGTGCACTACTATATTGGATATTTATTTACAAAACACAAAGAACAGATTGGTAACAACAACAAAATTGAAATCCAACCAATAAGCCATTCATTAAGGCACATGAGTCATTCATTTAGCCTCCTATATTACTAGGTTTATGGATAAAATTACAAGATTATAGGAGTTTCATTAAAAAGGCAACATCTTTTTACCACTCTGCACTGTTCAGTTCATGAAAGGGTAGTCTGGTGTCCTTTGTTTGTATTGGATTTCAGCACCAAGCAACCCAGGCACCAAGCAACCCAGGTTTTGTGGGACAAAATAACTTGAGGACATCAAGTTGCCTACTGCTGAATTCTTAAATAATACATATCGTGAATATAGTTGGCTTCCCTAGAGGTAGTTTTTCTTCTATTTTTGGGTTTTGTCGTATCTGAAAATGTTATTTATAAAGTCTTGCACCTTCAAAGGCATTGAATTTTTCATTTACCTGGAAGTGAACTCAGAATTATGTTAAAATGAATAGTCTGTCCAGCATGTTTACTTTAAGGCTGTTCCAGAAGAAACAGTGCAAATTCAGTAGATCCCAAGTGGTTGTAAATGAAAAAAAATGCAGTTAGATCTGTTGATATCTTTCTTTCCAGATATACTTAAAGAGAGGGAGAGAGAGAGCATGCGCACTTTTCTGGCACTCAAAAGACTGTACATTATTTGAGAATATTGGACATAATGAAGACTGCATATTCATTTTTCTAAAATATTTGTGGTAGTTTTTGACTATGAAATAACCTTAATGTTTTTTACAGGAGATAAATTGTCATGTTATTATCTTCACAGTCAAATATACTGTATATCCTCCTGTGAAATTTCTTTTATTAACAGAAGTAATGTTGAGTTAATATGTTATAACCTTCAAAAAACATAATAATTTTAAAAGCATGTTTTTTTTAAAAAAAGCAGGAATATGGACAGTAGAACAATCCAATTAGCAAAGCCCATCCATTTTTCTGGCAACAAACTGAATTCAAAGACTTTGCCTCTAAAAGTTTTCAAATCTAGTTGTTCCCATCAACAAGGAGCCAAAATAGTATTAGATTTCTGAAGTAGAATAATTTATTGCATTCCATGGAGGGAAGGCATGAATATCACTATAGACATACTATACCTGAAGGTATTAATCTCAGTGTCTGTTACAGTGATAGCTTTGTATAGGACTTAAAAAAGAATAGGAATTATGAGGCATCCTGAAATGAAGCAAGTAGGTCCCAGACATTTTTTAAAATGTTACACTTAATCTTCTGCAAAAGCCTTTCCTTCAATTACAGTGCAGATTGATGGGTTGTTTCAGAAAATTGTGTATCAGGATGTGGATCAATTGACCCTGGAGGGAGGGGGAGTGTAGGAAGAGAGTGGATATTTCTCTTCTCCTTCCTGAGCAGTTATGTATCATTCTCTTAAAATTAGGGACTGAGTGAAAGGCCATGGGGAATAATCATTACAGCTATTACACTATTAAGCAGTGGAACAGCCTTTCTCCTGGAGTCATGAGTGCTCCATCACTGGAGGTTATCAGATAAAGGTTGGATGGCCATTTGCCTGGGGTGGTCTGAGGATTCTTGTCCTGGTGTGTGGGGCAGAAATAATGGCCTTGAGTGACAGGAAGAAGAGCCGCTACCAAGCAACAGTCATGTAAAAGGGGTCTGAGTCCAGGGCAGAAATAGTAATAGTCTGAGTAAGCGTCTCAGACTAGCCCCTCCCTAGTTCTCATGAAGATAAAAGGGGGGGGGGAGTAGGGCATTCAGACTTACAACATTCTGTTACTATTGCTTTACCATAAAAGTAGTACTGACCTACATGGCATTGGATTCCTAGTCTGATCTTCCTTGAAGGTTTCATACCTGGACAGAGTGTTGGATTAGAAGACCTCCAAGTTCCCTTCCAAACCTATGATTCTATGATTAATTGGGTTTTTTTTATCTGGGTTCAAACAGATTAATCCCAGTTTAGATTCTGTATATGTCCTCAGGACCAAGGCACTTGGTTACTTGAGGTAAAGCACCACAACACAAAAAAGTACCAATTTCTATTCTAATATCAAAGAAACCCAATAAAATCTGCAAGTGAAACAGTCTACATGATCAGAATTGGGAGGGTAATACTTTATCATGAGCCACTTTGGTGTAGTGGTTAAGGCATCAAGCTAGAAACTGGGAGACTGTGAGCTCTAGTCCTGTCTTAGGCACAAAGCCAGCTGGGTGACCTTGGGCCAGTCACTCTCTCTCAGCCCTAGAAAGAAGGCAATAGCAAACCACTCCCAAAAATCTTGCCAAGAAAGCTGCAGGGACTTGTCCAGGCAGTTGCCAGGAGTCAACACTAACTCAAAGGCATGCACACACAAACACACACACAACCTCCACCCTTTATTACACCTATTAGCAATAGATTAGCTTCTGGGATGAAGGCAATCCATGAAGTGCCCAACAATTAGCCTGACCTTGTCTAAGGCAGCTACTAGAATGCTTAATGTGATTCCAGAATTGGATACTTATTGTGCTGAACTTCTTCCACGATCTAGTGATTCTGAATGAAAACTATGGTGCTGAGGAGCGGTTGATGTAACTGTGAAGCCTCTGATTCCAATGGTTTGGCAGGCGGTAAGTGGCCAATGAAAAATAGGGCATAGTATGTCAAATATTTGTGGCAAATGAGTCCTAACTTCAGTGGCTGGGTAGGAAGGTTTTTTTTTTTTTAAAAGAGAATTTAAACTTTCAAAGGTAGAAGTTCTGTTGCATACTGCCATCTTGTGGGATGAAATCATTTTTTTAAAAAATGATAATTCTCTACAAACTTTATTATTTTTCAGAACTGCACAATACATTTGCAGTTCTTCTAATAAAGCAGAAAATTGGAGGAGAAATATGGCATAGGAATAGGTGAGGAACTCCAAGGCAATTTTTTCTGTAATGGTATTGATATCTGATCCATGCCCAGGGCCAGGCTGACATAGATGATGATACAGGAAAGAAGGTCTAGACCAGGCATCAAGATGAACATTGGAGAAAAGTTGAAAGGAGCTGGGGATTTCCAGTTCAGGATTAACCATCTCCAAGAAGTGTGGATGAAAATACTTTTATTGTCAAACTGAAAATATTGTAGAAACAATCCATGAGGAGGCAATCAGCAGACTATGGGCCCTGTGTCTCTCCCTATAGCTTTGCCACACCACCAAATTTCCCAGCTCAGACGTAAATAACTCTCATGATGCAGGCGAATGTTTCTTCAGGGTCAGTCCTGTCATTACATCTTGTGTCTTTTCATCTTTTAGTGCCTTCAGAAGCTTATCTGAAAAGTGTGGAATTTAACATTAGCAATGTACAGATACTAATGCAAAGGCATGTGATTCTCTAATAATAGCAAACAGCAAGTCACAACTACACTGAAAATGATTTTGGAAAAGGTGAGCTTATTCAAAGTTAATGTTTGGAAAAGTGGCTTTATTAACAGGAATAGGTTGTTGTACCTTGCAACACACACAAGAATTGTGACAGAACAGATTTTAGACCTCTCATACCTTTTTCCAGGTTGTTGTTGTTGTTGTTGGTGGCTGTATTGTTCTATAGCTCATTTGCCCAGTGATGGTGTCATGCTTTTGCATGTTACATCAAAATTACACAGTATTTTTCCCCAAGGTATCCTTATGACTGCTGATGTTTGCTGGAGCTTTTTGCAGTTCACAAATTTCCAAGATGAGTGATTATATCCTGCTTCCTTTACTACAAATGGAACAGGATTGACCTTAGAAATATGTCTTAACAGCTTAAATCTCCCAAAGGATCACCAATAAGTGCAAGCAAACAAACAAACAAAAAACCCCCCAATAAATAAATAAAATAAAATCAAGTGTCTACCTTTCCTCCACAATTCTGGCAGAAATATACATTTATAGCTGCCCACTCAGTATGCAATCTTCTACTGATACAAATAATTCCTTTCTTTCAAGTAATCTGCCTTCGATCATTTTGATGAAGATTTACTTTGTAAAATGTCATTTTATTTTTTATCCATCAGTTTAGGCATTGGTATTTTACCCCGGATGAACTTCCAAATGACTGGTTCAAATTTGTTGGAGTAAACCTGTTATCTATTTGCATTAAGAATGATCAAAACAGCCCTGCCCCAGCATGATGCCGCCAGGAGTGTTGGACTATAAACTCCACTTTGCTCAGCCAGGACAGATGGGAGTAGCATTGCAAGATTTCTGGAATACATCAGTAGAGGAGGCTGATTAAGAAGATCACAAAGATTAGAAGTTATTTTAGAAATACTTTCCCACCATAGAAGCATCACTTTTATAAAAAGTAAATTACTTTAAAGACATTTCTTCCTTCCCCGGTTTCAAAGCGCATGGTCTGGATTCTAAGCAAGCTATGTTTATGAATTGTCAAGATCCAGCAGAAGATCTTGTTAATGGAAGGGGGGGGGGGTTCTTGACGTCTGTTTCCCATGTGGTCTGCTAGCTGCCTAAAACAAATTTGTAAGATCACAAAAGCCTGCAAGGGGAAAGAAAAATTATGAAAATTGCCTCCCCCTTTACACTTGGAGTATCCATGAGTAGAACTTACTTTAAAAGGTGCTCCCACTAAGGAGCGTATACTCACAATGGAATATATGATTTCTCAGTCAAAATATTCAGATGTTGTATTGGAAAGTTTGCCTTTAACTATATCCGTTATAACTATATAACAAACCTTTAACTCTATCCACAGACATGTGTATACATGGACCACATATTGCATTTACTTTAAACAAATGGTTCTTCAAATCCAGCTGTGGCCACAACTTCAAGCATCTCTTTATTGATTGATTATATAATATTAGAAAGGAGGGAAAAAGTGGAAACATTCAATCTGGATATTCATTAATAAATCCATAGACATAAGGATGAAAAATGTGAGATGTTATTTGTAACATCGTTGAAGTTTCAAATATGCTTGGATATTGGAGACTCTAGAGTGGTATTTCTAGTCTGCAAAGCTTATTAAGATGTAAATATCTTCAGGGTAGGATGACTCTAGATTTTGGGCCTTGGATCAATTGCTGAAAGGACTGCTAGGTCACAATCCAGAGAACTGCCCTGTGTATTCAAAATCTGTAAACCAGTACAGGTAGTCTTAATGACTACAGTAGGAACCAGAAAATTGCTTGTTAAGTGGGGTGGTAGTTAAGCAAGTCATCATGTGACCAGACCTGATTTTATGATCTGTTTCATGACAGTCATTAAGCGAATCACTTGGTTGTTAAGCAAATCACATGATCATCAAACAAAGCCAGCTTCTCCAATGGACCTTTTTGCTGGAATTCACTTAATGACCATGTGATTTGCTTAATGACCATGGTGATCTGCTTAACAACCACAGTGATTCACTTAATGACTGTTGTAAAAGTCACAAATCATGATCACATGACTGTGGGGGTGGTGTGACGGTTTGCAACCGTTGTAAGTGTGAGTACACTTACAAATAAAGCACTTTTTCCAAGACCATTGTAACTTTGAACCATCAGTAAATGAATGGTCGTTAAGCGAGGACTACCTGTAGTAGAAATTAGCTATTGTGCTAACCCTTCACTATCTTATTACAGAACTTTAGCTTTCTGTTACTTTGGGATAAACTTTGGGGTAAACTTGGTGTTCTGTGACAATTCTGAATGACAGGACATAACTGGGAAAATAATGGCCAGGAGAATCTGTGTGTGCAGGTCACCCTCCTCTCCACCATATACTCAAGACTAATTTGGGATTACAGCTGGGCAGATCTGGGGCTGGCAGATTAACACCGTCATTTTAATAGAAATGATTTGTTGAATTTATAAAATTGTTATGTGAAAGTACTGGGATTGGAACTGCCAAGTTTCTTGAATAAAAATGTAGGACTTTTAATAATTTATATAGGAGAGAAAATGTAGATAATTGTGTCTCCTCTTTAAATGGTATTGCTTTTGAACAAGAAGGTTTTCTTATTTGTGAAAAAAAAAAGGTCACAAATGTAATCTGGTAATCTTGTGGGGAAGGTTTTTCTGGTACTTATAGGAGAAATACCGAAGTTTTCAAGCCAAAGTATTAGGTTCAGGAAAGAGATGCTAAATATATAAATTGACTTATTGGACTGTTTGGAAGACAAGGGTCTTCTGGTAGTATAATGGGCCATTTGAATTGCACCTTTCCATACTTTGAGGTAGCAAAGTTGTTAGCAAGCAAGAGTTTGAGGAGCCAGACTTCAGTTACTCACACTGCTGTGGGTCTGAGCCATCCCCCGTGAGGGCCAGCAGTTCCAGCTCCTTCAGACGGATGCCAAGCTCACAGATTTCCCCATCTGGCTGTTGTTGCTGGTGTGCCTCAGTGCTCTCTGAAGCAGGACAGAAGAAGCGCAAGGGCTCATAGGGAATGGGAGCCAGGCCAGCTGGCCAGGGAGGGGGGCAGCAACGCTCACTTGTGAGTGGAAGGAGCCCAAGTCCAGGGGGAGGGCGCTGAGGCCCAGCTGGTGCTGCTTCCCCTCCTCGCAATGGCACAAAAAGCTTCCGCCAGAGGGCGCAATCGGCTAGGTTAGTGCTGTGGGTAGTTCGGTCATAGAGGGAAGGGAAGAATACAGGGGGTGGTGGCTGAGGGGGTGGAGGGGGCTGTTGCTGGTGGCTCATGGAGCTGCTCCTGATGGCTCAGCAACTACACTGCTGCTGCCATGGAAACCCCAGAATCTAGAAGGAGTCATGGAGTTTTAGTGTTCTAGAGCAGTGTTTCTCAACCTCAGCAACTTTAAGATGTGTGGACTTCAACTTCCAGAATTCCTCTGCTCCACTTTTGCCTTGGTGGCAGGCATCTTTCATATTTCTGCAGGCTTTAATTTCATAGCAGGCTTGAGCAATTAAGTTTTAAACTAGAAGATGGTTTATGTTCACTTTTAATAAAATAGACAAGGTTGATTTGTTATAGTCATTATCTGTATCTGCATCCACTTATCTTCTCTGTTGGACCATTCTCAGATTCTATGCCTCTCTTGAAGCATTAAAGAACAGAATCCAGAATGGAACTGGAGTCCCTGGATATAAGGAGTAGGCATAGACTACAAAGTATTGTTCTCCCAGGTCTTCCCCTTTACTTTTTATCACAGTGGAGAAAACTGAAATACACCTTCTGACAGTGGTTAATTACAAAGGAGGTCTCAGCTCATCTTTTTATCTTATTTTTTTACCTTATCTTTCCCCAATTCTTTTAGCAGTGATGGATTTCAAAACATTCTGTGAGAAAAGCATGTGATTGCTGTTGCCAAAATTATTGGAGAATCAGGCATGGGGATTATGGTTTTCTTTTAGGCTGTAATTACTTTTCTTCCATATTTTTTTACTTTTAGCATTAGACTAATAGTGAGAAGGTGGAATGTGTTAGTGTGCAAAGCACATAGAAATATATGTCACTGCACACAAGAAGCCCATAAAAAATATAAATAATCTTTTTAAGCACTCCTCATCCAACAGAGTCACCAACACTAGTTTTGCTAGCATTCTCAGGAGCAAAATTTTTATTGCAGAAAAAAGTACTTTTAGATGATACAGGTTTGAGAGTAACTTGCAGAACTGATTTTCATCCAGCAGAGGGAATCAAACACTTACAATCTGGCCATCTGCGTGTATGTATTTATATCTGTGCTTGCTCATTGTATTTAATATGCTACCTATTTTCTCCCACTAGTACATAATCTCTATTGTAGGAAAAAAATATGGGCATAACATGCCTGAAGAACGTCCAATATTTTTTCTCAAGTTGATTTTTGGGGAAAAATAATATGTGAAGTAGGGCAGTAACTTTTTAATCAGGAAATTAAGTAACAAAAGGCTTTCATTGGTTAATCATTGTTTTAACTGACTTAAATTAAGTATAACTGTTTGTGGGAAGTGAGACAGTTAGGCTACTTTGATACTGATGTGCTACTGGGATTTTAAACATATATTGTTTGGGGAATTGTATGGTGGTGTGTTAAGTGGGAGATTGCTTAAGGTTTTACATAGTTTGCTGTAGCTCTTGCAGGCATTGCACAGTAACACTGTGGAATTCACTTTGGGAAATTCATGGAGGATAAAGCTATTAATCACTATGGTCATGGTGGTTATACACTGCCTCTATTTTCAGAGACATATTTATTTACCAGAAGAAAGAAGTTACCTTCATTATTCTGCTTGTAGACTCCCCATTCTTTGGCAAGAATCAGCTAGGATTCTTCAGAAAATAACAGAAGCTATGGGCTTGTAACATCTTATTTATTTATTGACTTCCAACAACTCTGGACAGCTTACAGTTAATAATAATAATTATTATTATTATAATAACAACAACAAAATACAAAGCAGAAAAAAGAACCATGGATGGTGCCAAAACAACATATAAACAAAGAAAACCCATCCAGCAGCAGCTCAACCTTTACTCTGTCCCAGAGCCTGGGAGAATAGTTGGGTCTTTAATAGCTTCCTGAACATCATCAGGATTGGAGCGATCCAGATCTCTGGGGGGATATCATTCCAGAGGGTAAATGCTGAGGCAGAGAAGGCACACTTCCTGGGTCCCACAAGGTGACACTGCTTAATCAGTGGGACCTGGAGAATGCCGCTCTGGGCCTCACACTGGACAAGCAGAAGCAACAGAGACAGGCAGTCCCTCAAATCACCAGGCCCTATGCCATCGACAGCTTTATAGGTAAAAACTAGTATCTTGAATTGCACCTGGAAGCCAACTGTTAATCAGTGAAGCTTGCAGAGCAGTGAGGTTACACAGGCTTAATGAGACATGCCTAACACTGGGTTGTACTATGTATAGCACATTACAGTAATCCACGTGTGACGTGCCAATGGTATTGAATGACTGTCTGAACAGCAACCTGGTGCAGCTGGTGCACAGTTGCCACCTGATCTTTGAGCAGGAGCTGTGAATCCAAGATGATCCCCAAGTTGCACACCGGCCTTGAATGGGGAAGTGAACCCCATCCAAGACCAAGGATGGAAGATCCCCAGAGCCAGCAGGCCTAAATATTTGCAGCCACTCAATCTTGTCAAGACTGAGCCTGTTCCTCCCCATCTGGACCTGCACAATCTCAGGACACTGAGAAAGAACTTTGACAGCATCACTTGGTCAGCCTGGGAGCAAGAGGTATAATTTGGCATCATCAGCATACTGATGGATGACCTCATCCAGTGGTTTCCTGTAGATCTTAAACAGAAGGAGTGAGAGCCTGAGGCACCCCAAAAGTGCTTATTTTGGAATAGGGGCATAGTTTTAAAAAATTACAAGTAATTGGTTAAATGCTGAGCCCTCTACAAAGCATCAGAAGAAATGTTCCTGTTCAGGCAAGAAAGATGAGTTCATAAAATCTCTCAAAATCAGAAGACTTTTGTTCCTTGAATCCTCTAACTTCCTAAAAATGCAAACAGTTGGGTCAAAAAAAATTAGCCACGCCTAACCTGGTGATATCATGACATCGTAGCTGAACTGTTGGATTGTGGTAATATTGGGACTATGTGTGAGAGGGTCATTAATCTACTTACAATAGAACAATGATAAATTGCTTTATGTGAGTAGTGTTTAGCAAGACATATCTGGTCTTTTGGTATTTCTATTTCTATTATTCTTTAATTTTTTAATTTGGTTTATTTTCTACTTTTTCAATGGACATTAAATAGAGTGCTGAATCTATTTGCATAACTGGCTGACTTATCAATAGCTACAAAACATGTTATTTCTAAAGCATTTGTAGTTTCTTATAAATTAATATGCAAAAAACCACTATGAAATAATTGCTCAGGAATGCATAAATCCTACTTATTTTGGGGTCTATGACTGCATATTCTTTAAGAAATATATTAATCTTACTTGTTTAAAGTGAAGTGTCAAATCTACCTGTTTTTATTTGAAATGCCAACAAGATAAATGGAGCACTCATCAATCACCAGCATATGAAGCTGTTGGCTGTCACTTTTCTCTCTGCATTTCGTGTAAGACGTACCAGTTCTTGCCAACTTGAAAAAAATTTTAAAAACCACAGTGGTCTGTAAGATTGGAAGGAAGGTTACAAGAAATTATGTCATTTGGAGATAAATTCAGCCTCTTTTTGTAACACACTTGGTAGGAGATACCTTTCAGTGTACATTTTCATACTGAAGGTAGCATTGTGATATCAGACCAGGCAAAATGTTTGTGCTTTGGCAAGCTATTTAGATATTTCCACCAGAAGACCTAATATTAACGTTCAGTGTCAGGATGTCTATAAGGACAAGCAAATATTCATAGTTAGAATCAAAGACATCATTAGCTTAGATGTGGTCTTTTGTGGTCTGAAACAAGGTGGGAGTTGCTCTGCAAAGCCATGGCACTCCTGGGAAGGATTATTTCTGGGAAAAAGAATGAATCTGCTCTAATGTTGAATTTTAAAGAATGTTTGTATCTGTTATCCTTCCTTCATAGAATAAAGGGCATGAGTGAAATACATGTAGAAGGATATTTTTAAGATAGCCTTCCCCAACCTAATGCTCTCCAGATGTGTTGGGATCCAAAATTCTCAGAACAAGCTTAATGCTGGTTGGGATCAAACTTGCCAACCTTGAAACACTGAGAACCAGGAACAGAAATGACTGTTCCATCATGAACTGCTCCATGTTCCACACAAATAAACATTCTCCTTGTCCATAGAAAAGGAAAATAAAATTCATATTTCACATTGCCCAAAATAGAAGTTTTTGTGATAGTAAGTTGAAAAACTATCAAATCACTTTTCCTTGAGTAGCAGGCTCCTCCCAGCAAACTGTCACTTCCCAACTGAGGCAGCATACAAGTAAAAAAAAAAAAAAAACTAGACTGAAAACAGATAAATACACGCTCAAGATACAACTACAACTACTGATACGTAAGTAAGAAACTATTACAGAATAATTCCAGAGTCTGCTGAATATCAAATGTGACCCTTACTTTTTATTATTTTGGTCGCACAGTCAGCCAGATGTTTAGACTGGATTTGGCATTTTTATCCACCTATCGAGTCCTTCCCAAGGACCTGGGGTAGGCAGAAGTTGTTGTTTGATGATGTTAAAGGTATCGTTGCAGGATGTAAGCTGTTCCAAGTAGATGATTTTAAATTTACTGGCAACCCATCTTCAGTGGGCTCTGGGCAGTGCACAAAACTAAAACTTACAACTTATGTTGAAATCAAGGTTCAGAATTCTTATGCCTGTTTGTACAACTGGCTGGACACCCCTCTCTTCTGGATTACAGATTTTCATCTACCTCTTCTTTTAGTAACAGACAGATCTGGTATCAGGCTGTTTATTTTTGGCCATGTGAGAACTAGCTCTTATATCTAGGAGCCAAAAGATGTGGTTTAGCAGGAATTTCTGGTAATAGAAAAATGGATTGCCCACAAACTTCACAAGGCTGTCGAGCTTTTTAAAAAGGGCTGCAGCTTCAAATACATTGCAGCTGAGGTCAGAAATTTAGCTTGGCATCAAATACAACCAGCCAAATGGGATCCCAGAAATGCAGAGCTGTTTTTGAAATGGAACAGAGTCCTTGTGTGAAAATGCCTTCCAGGGTAGCTGGTGTTATTCACCATATTCCCCTTGAACATTTTAATAACAAAATAAGGTGACGATGTCCTTCAGAC